CAGTGAATTTATGTTTCCAGATAGCCTGGCCTTAGGTCATCCATGTTCTAGTAACCTCCAGGTTAGGCTACTCTAATGCACTACACATGGGAATGTTTTCGAAGACTGGAAATTGCAGTCAGTAAAATCAGTAGTTAGTATGCAATGATAGTATGCATACTGCACTGGCTTCCAATCCATTTCTGGGCCCAACACAAAGTGCTGGTTTTCATTATTAAAGCCCTTCGCATCTTACAATCGGGAAACTTAAAAGAACAACCAGCTCCATACGTACCTACCCATAAATTAACATATTCTTTGGAAGTCATACTTACCATCTGAGGTGAGGTGGATGGCTAGCCAGTTATGGAATGGTCTCCTCAAAGAGGTTCATTCGATGCCTACTTTATTGTTGTATTGGCACATTTATTTCAATAGTTGTATAGCCAGAAGGTGAGCTAACATCGTAAAACATGAATTCAACCATAAAACATTGTTTAACATGTTATCCACATTGTGAACACAGGACAGCATAATAGTGATTATACACCCTATATGCCAGAACCCTGAGCAAATAATCAGATTTGACCTCAACACTATAGTAGTGTGGGGGACAGCTGGGGTTCACCTAGGAGAGATTTCACTCAGGAGGGATCTCCATAAACAGGCAATCATTTTTGGTACTTGGGTCCAAAGTTACTCAGTTGTTAGCATCCGTCTGCCTCAAAAGACAAACATGCCTTTATATATTAGGCAAATACTTTATTTTCTCCAGTTTTTAAAATAAATTTGGCTTCTGCTGACTGCTTTTATTATTCAGAGGCTTTTAGATTACTGTGTGTATTTACAGTTTAATTTTTTAAATTCCTTTTTTGAAAGACACACTGGGAATATAATTCAATAGCGATATAAACATACCTACAACAATAAATTTTGCAACCCCAGTCATCTTTGACTGGATTTAACCATCCAGGAGTCCTTTACCTTTACCTTTTTATCATTCATCGTTTGCAAAGTACTGTTGCGGGGACTTTCAAAAGACTATGAAGTGAGGCCACAAAGGAGTGTTGTGGTCCTCTTCAGTGAGGGATAGGAGGGGTAAGCAGCTTGTCTGCCATCTGGAATTTCCCCCTCAACTTTCACAGCCATCTTGCTGAAAGAAATGGGCAAGATAACTTGGAAATTAGAGCAAAACCACAAACTGGAGTTGGAGGTAACCTTTGTAAAGAGATGGAAAGAACACCCCCAAGATGAAGTCACATCAAGGCAGGCTCAGAGAAACAGAAGTGGAGCATGGGAGATAAATATTGAGATTAGTGGAACAGGAAAACAGGAGGGAAATACTGGAACCTAGGACAGGAGAGGGAACTGGCAAGAAAATTGTAATAAGATCAAGGGAACAGAAAGGTTTTGAAAAGAAAGCAAAAACAGTACAATACTACAGGACAGGACAAAAGATAATAAAGACACACAAACGTTTTGGGGCTTTTTTAGGCTGGAAAATCTACATCTAGGATCATACCCTTCACCAGCTCTGCCCTGAAAAGCCTGAAGTCAACAGGTAACAGCTCAGTACATACAGCTCATACATGCTAACACATAAGCTGGGTCTAACCATACATTTTTTTTAAAACTACCTTTGCACAACATTTTTAAAAAATCTATTTTAAAGCCTTTCCACACAATAGATGTGCAGTTCTCTCTTTCCCTCTTGCACAGGATTCAGATACCTTCTCACAGGCTGGTGCTGCTGTTGTAAAGATACTGCATTTTCCCAGTTACCAGAAACAGCATTTTGTCACTAGGAAATGAACAATTATTCTCCCAGCAAGTATAAGCAGAGCTACTGCAAAATGCCTCTGCACTGAATGTCACATGACACAGCACAAGTGTCACACTCTCTCTGTGTGTGTGTGTGTGTGTGTGAGAGAGAGAGAGAGAGAGAGAGAGAGAGAGAGAGACATGCCTAAGAGAGTGCCACAACACAGAAAGAAATAACCATACTCAGCACATGGCACCTTCCATTTCAACAAGACAGGCACGTTAAAATGACACAGATCTTTTTAAAAATTATCATTTATAATATATATGCCCCTATAGAACCTAATAGGGGCATGGGTGGCACTGTGGGTTAAACCACAGAGCCTAGGACTTGCCAATCAGAAGGTCGGTGGTTCGAATCCCCGCGACAGGGTGAGCTCCTGTTGCTCAGTTCCTGCTCCTGCCAACCTAGCAGTTCGAAAGTGCAAGTAGATAAATAGGTACCACTCCGGCGGGAAGGTAAACAGCATTTCCGTGCGCTGCTCTGGTTCACCAGAAGCGGCTTAGTCATGCTGGCCACATGACCCGGAAGCTGTACGCCGGCTCCCTCAGCCAGTAAAGCGAGATGAGAACCACAACCCCAGAGTCGGACACGGCTGGACCGAATGGTCAGGGGTCCCTTTACCTTTATAGAACCTAATGAAATTCTACTTGATTTTCTACTCATGCTTCACACATTGGCAATGGCCTACATGCCGAGAGGTGCAGCTCCAAGTCATCCAGGCCCGCCGAGATTCTGCTCCCTCACCATCTTTATCACAGCCTCTCCCTTCTTCCTGGTGGACTCAACTAGCCACCCCACTTGCTCCTCCTCTGCCACTATGCCAGCCAAAGTGCAGCTGAAGTACCTGGAGCAGCTGCTTTTAGCCAAACCGTCGCAGTGAGAGAGGTCTGAGTGTGGAGGCACTGCTGGAACGCCTGCTCGGCCTCTACACCAAGTGCAGCCACGACTCGCCACTCCAGAGGGCCAGGCTGATCTCAGGCTTCCTCAAGTGGAAATGGACCCCTTGATCATCAAGAGTAACATGGGCAAGTTGCTCATCAACGGCTCTTGGGCAGCCTACCCAGAGTCAGCAGTCAACATATCACTGGCGGTAGGCCTGAGAGCCCCACCGTCTCCACCATGGACCGCAACCAGTGCAGCATCTGGCTGTGCTGGTTTAACAACAGACACGATGTGTATTTTATGTGCATTTTAATGAACTGAATTAGAGTAAAAAATTATGAGTCACAGGGGCATGGAGAGTGTGTACATGAACTTACCAGTGCTTAGCTTATTTTGTTGTTGTTGCTATTCCGTTATCACTTAGAGACAAGGGTAAGCAACTGTAAACTACAGAAGGCATGTGGGCTTCACGACAAGAGGTTTTGAATTACACTCCCAAATAATATTGCTGTAAATGCTTTATTTAGTTACAAACAAATATGCTTTCCTTGTTAGAACAACTGACTAGTAGGCACACTTGTACAAGAAAAGCATGAATTGCGAAACTGGAAACCTGATTTAAAATCAATGCTTCCAAAATGGGCTATGTGTCTTTTCATTTGTATACAGTGGTACCTCGGGTAAAGTACTTAATTCGTTCCGGAGGTGAGTTCTTAACCTGAAACTGTTCTTAACCTGAAGCACCACTTTAGCTAATGGGGCCTCCTGCTGCTGCCGCGCCGCCGGAGCACGATTTCTGTTCTCATCCTGAAGCAAAGTTCTTAACCCGAGGTACTATTTTTGGGTTAGCGGAGTCTGTAACCTGAAGCCTATGTAACCTGAAGCCTATGTAAACTGAGGTACCACTGTATGGCACTCAGAATTCAACAAGGCATCTACTTGTTCCTAGCAGAAGATGGTAGGTAACCCTGCTCTAGATCATGGTTCTGAAGACAGAGCAAATATATATGGGTTAGCGGAGTCTGTAACCTGAAGCGTATGTAACCTGAAGCGTATGTAACCCGAGGTACCACTGTACAAATATCTTCCAGCCCTTTCCATACTACAACATCCCCACACATCAGTTAGCAACTGGAATTCAAACAGTTCCTCCATGTAAGCAGAAAACTCTTCTGCATAAGGAGTGAGGGGTAGTAATTTTCACTTACTCTTATTATATATTTATATCCCACTTTTTCCCCCTGACAGGACTCAACTTGTCAACTGTACTCCTTAGTAGATCATCAAATCCCACTCCAATACCTTTCTTCAAGTGCAGTTGAGGGAAGAGGTGATAGGTGAGAAGGTGCTACAGTGAGAAGGGAAACCAAAAAAAGGCCTATTGGATCTCAGCATAATTAGTGAGACCAGTGGGATTTTGATAATTTGATCTACTTGCAGACATTACACATCTTTGGTAATCTGCAGATATTACAGTGTGATTTAATACAATACATGCTACAACAATGATGCTTTTTTTAAAAAAAACGGCTTCCTAAACGGATTGCCTGCTGAAAAATTAAGTAATTTATGGCTCTTAAGTTATCTATCAGTGTGTACAATATCCAATGTGTACAAAGTACAAGATTCATTTAATATTTGTGGGTTGCTTCTCAACAAAATTCTTCAAGGCAGATAGGAATAACTGAAAATCACAATTAATACACAGGCAAGTGATAAAATTTAAGGCACAACAGAAGCCAGAAGCCCATAGAGGGTATTACCATGGGGCTCTTTAAGGGAAGGACTCTCTTCACTTTTTCAAATAGGAAACAAAGTGAATAAATAAATGTCATTCACTGATGTCCATATTTCATAGCTTACATTTCAGAACAGTTGCCTTACAGAAATATGCAGTACCCACAAGGGACAAAGTGGCTTCAAATAAACAAAGAAGACCAGCCCATGAGTACTGAATGAAAAGGTTAAAAGGATTAACTGATGCATGTTTCCATTGGTTTTCATTGTTAGAGAGTATGCTACAAATATTTCATCCCAAATGTCAAGTTATCCAAGCACAGTTTCAGATACACCGCAAGGAAAAAAATCTAAGCTTCTTTCTATCAAATAAGGAAAATGGAAGGCAGAGATGGTAGCCTACAAAGGAGCAGGGTCTTCAAGATGGGGAAAGGGAGTTTTCATTGATGGCTTTAATTTTAATCTGTGATTAAAACTTTAATACATTAACCATGCTGATTAATAATTTCAAAGGCTGCGGCAATATACAGCAATGCACCACATCATGCTCAGAGAGATGCATCATTTAAAAACTTACCAGACGGCCAGAAAATTCTTTGTTTTCAGATAGGAATCCATATCCCGGATGGACCTTTAAAAAATATAAGCCAAGAGTAGATTTCATTGCTTTAGACAACTGAAAGCTTGATGCTGACAGCATCTCATCAGTAATTACAGTTTAAAGCAGCAAGTTTACTTGTACTTTATACTAGATGAGTAGATACGACAGAAAACACCCCTTATGGCAGTCATTTTGTTGGAACCAGTTTTGCTAGTGAGGAAATAAAGTTTCTGAGCTAGAATAAGTCCATTCTCCATCATATGACAAACTCTGGAAATCCATAGCTTACTCTAAACCGCAGCATAAGCCACTTCATGCACTCCTCAACTCTCAGTCCTAATTTAAATGTATAGCGTATTTGTCTTTAAACAAGACAAAGAAAAAATAATGGTTTATCAGTTCAGAGTTCCCTATGTTCACAATCACATATAAACTAGATCGCATGTGGCTGCAATGTTACCGGGTGGGTATCATATGCTCCTAGGCCACAATTTTCTGGCATGCTAACATTTCACATACAAGTGCTAAAAACATGGTATCTATGCACCACCTTCCAAAGTATCTAACAGGTATCAACCTGGGTGACAAACCCAGGCCTGACAGCTACACAGATACGGTCATTTTTACTTATTTTCATTTCTATTCCCACCAGAGGATTCTAGAAGCTCTTCCTTATTACATTTCTCTCTGTGTAAGCACCTCTCTCCATACCCTTTCACATTTCTCTAACCTTCCAAGCTCTTCTCTCAAAAACATTTTTCTGGCCCTCAAGTTAACCACAGTGCCAGTATTCAATGTTAGCAGCTCTGCTACAAATCCCACTTCAAACATAGAATATAGTATTTTTTTAAAAAAATAACCAGTAGACCACACATGAGTTGTAAAAACAATTTTTACAAAATGCCTCAGTATCAAAATAATGCAACCACATGGTACATAGAGTAATTACAGAACACATTAAAGTGGGAAAACCTTCAGTTTCATCATTTGTAATCTTTCGTAAATTCGTAGCTAAGGAAATCTAGGTGGCAGGCTAAAGATGAAAGCCTGAACTATTTCTATCTCTATTAAATCTTCTTAACTAACAATGTAAACATCTGCAGTGTCTGTTAGCTAATTAATGTTGTTTGCCATTTTTCTCCTCCCTCCCCCTTTCCAAATGCACCATACTGAAACATTCATTTCAAAAGAAATGATAATGCTAATTGAGACACTCCAGGGTAATTGCTGGTGTTGTCCGACTCCCATCCAGCGAATTTTATTTAAAGATGCTTTCGCATTCAGCAGTTCTGAAGACCACATTTGCATTTACTGATGCAACAAGGAAAAAGTATTATTGTCATCATTTTTTTTAAAATGCCAACCATTCTTGTTAAACTTTGACTCTTTGACCTTATTGAAGGATAGAGGGGCAGAGGGAAGAGAAGAAAACAGGCTGCACACCTAGTCGATCATGTTTTGTCAGCAACATGAAACACTGAAAAATAATTACTCAGTGCACCATTTATCATATTCACCATGTGGATAAAAATTCTCACACAGGCCAAATAATAAAATAAAACTAAGCAAGATTACTGCTGTCTTATAAAAAAAAGACATCCAGAAAGAGAGGCTATGGCACAGAAAGGGTTAGTGCTCTAAACTAATTGGGATTCCCACCCCCACCCCCAGCAAATTTGGAAATGAACTGAAGCTGCTCCCTGGTGTGAAAGCTGAATCCAGCAGCCACCTGCAGGATCAGCAACCGGCACTGCCAGATGCTACAAAAGCCTTTGATTTCCAGTAGCGATTTCGGCCACATTTAACTCATGTGACATGAACTAAACTGGAATAGCATATTCAATCATTCTCCCCCTCGCTTCTTTTTTTTTTTATCTTTAAATACAAACTCTAGCTTCTCTGCTTTCTATATATGAAACAGCTGCAGAGGAGAGACTCATTCAGACTCACAGCTTGGGCCCGGGTTTTTTTAATGGCTTCCATGATAGCATCCATGTTGAGGTAGCTTTTACTAGTGGGAGCTGGGCCAACACAGACTGCTTCATCCGCCATTTTCACATGGACCTGGAAAGACAAAATGTCCACATTTTAACACATATGCGCCAGCAAATACATTTACTACCACCTCCTTTAGCTATTGTTTTAGGAAATGAAAAAGATAATTCACATCGTGCAGACAGGTATGCTCAAATATATCGCACACAGTATAAACACAGAAACACACACACACACACAAAACAAAAGAGAAAAGGGAGGGGAAGGAGGATATATACTGTATAATGAACACAAGGGCTCGTTGGTACATTCAAGGGCTCGTGAAGTTAAATTTCATTTTATGCCAAGTGTGGTTTGGCTTTTGACAAATAATACAAAGAAATGCAAACCTGAATGTGGCTATGCTGATAATCTATATGTAAATTCAAAGCCTAAAACTACTTTGTTAAATGTAACCAGGGTAGCTTAATATCGTACTACTTAACAACAAACATTCACGGCCAGTTCCATCTAAGCAGGCTCCCCAGGAAGTTGGTGATAATTAGACTGAATTGAATGAAGGGATGCAGTGAGTGTCCCTGCACAGCATCAGGTCAGCACCATGAACAAATTAAAGCCTATGACTAAAGAGTTCAATATCACTACACGTGAACCAGAAAATCTTGAGAATTATTTAAGCAGGCTTAGATTCTCTAATTCATTCTTATCTTATTCACAGGAACAATTGTCAAACAGATTTTCTGGAAAAGGTGGGGGCTACAGCTAATGGCCAAAGAAAGTTTGCCTACAATTTAGAATTATTTTTGGAGAGTACATGTTCTAGAGGAAGTATCTCAAAGAGTTAGACTTTGGCATAGTTTAAGGATACTTAGCTAATCTTTTAAAAGGACCCCAAAAAATTGCTCAGGAAGCATCTGCCATTTTTAATAATTAGCAATGAAAAGGGGGCTGGTATTCTATTTATTTTATTAAATGCATAGTATTTAATAATATTTATACAGGCATCTGCATCATAGCTGTTTTCCCCCCTATAGCAGTTCTCTGAGACAGACTAGAGGAACAAACTACTAATGAAGAAGAAGTTAAGATGACATTTAACAGCATGTTCTTTTGATGAGACTAAAAATAATTGTGAGTCTCAGGTAGAAATAGGATCAATTCTCAAAGATCAAGAAGGTATTTAAGGGGGGGGCAGAAGACTTAAATACTTCTGAAGTAATATGCTCAAACCTTTAAAATTAGGAAGAAATATAGCCAGAGAAGTTAGATGGTAAAATGCAACACATCTATCCATTCTGATTTTAGATATGTATTAAGCACACTCAAAATACTGTGCATATGAAACAATTCTAAAACCTTAACACATTAAAGTACATCAATTTTAGTCAGAATAGACGCATTTCCCATGCCCATTGATTTCAATGAACTGACCCCATGGCTTAGTTGGAAAATTATCATGTATACCAAACTGCTCTCATTAAATCCAAATACACTAAAGAACAGTGTTCAAGAGGCCTCATTTCAGATGCCACAATAGAATCTATTGTGCTTCCAGAGTTTAGGAAAAAATGGATGTACAAGTCAATCTGATTTTCAAACCTCAGGTGCAGAACGTTGTCCTGAACATGCATACCAAGATTAATTACAATGTTGCAGTTCTAATTGGAGATACATGGAACATGAAACGTGCCACAAGGTGATATTTCCTGACTCCCCTGAAAATGAGTGACAGCTAAGCAGGTATGTGCTTTGAGGGTATCTACAGTAAGCCTGCAGCTTACACACATTTAAGTTAAACGCATTCAGCTTTATGTGCTTGTTAAAATAAATAAGTAAATAAATTTTAAAAGAGGGCAGAATGCAGGTGGGTGTCTGGAGGAAAAGGACTTTGGCAATCCCACTCACCACTGTACCACTGTACCCAGGACTTTACACAATTTGGGCTTTAGGTGCAATCCCTAGAACATAACCCCTATGTAAGTTGCAGGCTTAGTGTAAATATTATGATTATTTTACACCCAGAGACATACCTAAATTCAAATGATGTTTTTATAATTTTCCTCTCATCTGGAATTCAAAAGGTGCTACAATGTCATTTTAACTAAGACGCTCCTGAAGATGCATTCATAGTTTCTAAACCAATTCAATCTCTCTCTTTCTCTCTCTCTCTCTCTCTCTCTCTCTCTCTCTCTCTCACACACACACACACACACACACACACACACCCCACCACTAGTTAGCTAATTGTAGAAGTAGTATTTGGGGAATTTGGGGAATATGTACATGGTTTTAAGCAAAACATAGGCAGCCCAAAAAGGTATACTATTTTCACTTCCTCAATTATACAAAGATAACTTCTGAACTAGTTCTATAAACTAGTCATACTGAAGATGTTGTCATCGAAAAAGCCAATGTACAAATGTAAAAGCAAACTAAGCAGTGATGGATTCCTGCAAGCACTATCAACATTAAGTCAACTTTGCTATAACTCTGCTAGATCAGTCTACCAGACCGCAGATGTCTGTTTGCTTCCATGACTGTTTTGCAGCTATTTTCCTGAATACTTAAGAGATGTTCACTTATCAACTTGAAAGTGCAGTGAAGTTTTTTTCTGGTGTGTTTCACAGCTCTTCCCCACCTCCACTAACCCAACTGTTCACATCAGCACGGCTTCATTAGCATCAGATTCAATTCTGTTTCTATACACAACAGGGGGCATTGATGGGTGGTAATGTTTTTGCCCTGTACAAAGGTGTTCACACCTTGGCTAGAAAGGAACCAGCTGAAGCTTCTGGTTTGAGAAAGAATGCATCAAACAGCAGGATTTTATTAACAAAGTACAGGATACTTATGCATCTTGGAAAACATTGTGAAAACAGAGATAAAAAATGCAGCACTGAAAACACAGTGAGTGCACAGTAAGCAGGAGTGTGAACATAAGTCTTGGACTCCCCACCAAACTCTCTCTCATCAACAGTTTTCAGAGTAGCATTCTTCCCATCTACTCCATTTGTATGAACATCTTTGGCCAGTTTGTTCCTTCCATACATCAGACAAAAAGCAGAATAGCATTTATACCAAATAGTTTCATTTATTATTTTATTTATGTTAACATTCCATCATTCTATACAATAAAGGAAAATTACAACAACTTAACACTAAAATACGGACAAAATCAGATACCAATAATAAGAACAATAAAAGCAGCAGTAAAACACAAACAGCAAAAGCACAAACCACTCAAATGGATTTCATTTTTTAAAAAGCCCGCTGAATAAAACTGACTTCCAGGGCACACTTAAAAGTGGGCAATGAAGGGGCAAGACACACTAGACTGCAAGTCATTCTATAATCTGAGCGCCGTAATTTAAAGAGAAGCTGTGTCTCATCTCCACCAACTGAATTTCTATAGGTGGAGGTACAGGAAGAAGCTGAGTGACATGCAAGCAAGTTCATGTGGGAAGAAGCAATTCCTGGAATATTCCAGCTTTAAATAATTTAGGGACTGAAAGTCCAAAACCAGCACCTTGAATTGAACCCAGGAACAAATTAGCAGCCAGCAGAGCTGGTACGAAACTGGCACAATATGACCTGTCTTAGTAAACTCAGACAACAGCTGGGGCCACAGCATTGTGAATCAACTGAAGTTTCCAGAACATCTTCCAAGGAAGCCCCACATTGAGCTCATTACAGTAAGCCAATCTAGAAATGACTGGTTCTACTACTCCCAAGAAAAATACAATTAGTGTACTAAATGAAGTTGGTTGAAAGAACTCCTGGTCACATGTATATCAAGAATCAGCCTGGATAGCTCAGTTCGTTAGAGAGCGGTGCTGATAACGCCAAGGTTGCAGATTCAATCCTTGTATGGGACAGCTGCATATTCCTGCACTGCAGGGGACTGGACAAAATGATCCTCAGAGTCCCTTCCAACTTTGTAATTCTATGATTCCAAGTCTCCCAAACTGTGAACCTGTTGCTTCAAAAGAAGTACCACCTCTCCACGCAAGGGTGATCTTCACTTCCAAGATTATTATGTTTTACTTCATTCACCAACATTGATTCCAAAACAGCTATCTACTGCCTTTCTGGGTTTCGATGAAGGGAACGAGAGACAGAGTTTGGTAACATATGCCAAAATATCCAGATAACCTCACTCAGCAGTTTTATGTAGCTGTTACAGAGCATATAGGGGACAGAGCAGACTCTTCAGAATCCCATCAGTCAAAGGTCACAGATCAGGAAACTCCAGCACCACCTTCTAGGAGCTGCTCTCCACCGATCAGAGCCACTCTAAGCAGTCACTCAACCATCCATCCCCAACAAGTTGGCCAGAAGTACACCATGGCTGATTGTTTCAATTGGAATATACAAAGATGTACTCTGCACTCCCTCCCTAGCACAAAGTGACCAAGGCAGGCTCAATCTCATAGTCAGATCAGAAACCAAACTGGAATGGAACCAAGTAATGAGTTTAATTTAAAAAAACCAACACTTGGAAAAGTAAAGTGAAAAGAATAAGGCACTTTTTCCCTTTTGGCACACTTGCCAAATCAAAACAGAAGCCAAGGCCAATCTAGTGGTGTGTGCAATCTAGTGGCATGGTCTTCCCTCTAGTCTACTGAGCAGGCAGCATTTTGGTGCTGTAAGGTAGCCAGTGAATTTTAGTTAATTAGATTTATGCATTGCTTCCTAAAGCAAAGGAAATCCCAAAGCAGATCCACTGAGACAATATCAAAAGGTCGGTGGTTCGAATCCCCGCGACGGGGTGAGCTCCCATTGCTCGGTCCCTGCTCCTGCCAACCTAGCAGTTCGAAAGCACGTCAAAGTGCAAGTAGATAAATAGGTACCACTCCGGCGGGAAGGTAAACAGCGTTTCCATGTGCTGCTCTGGTTCGCCAGAAGCGGCTTAGTCATGCTGGCCACATGATCCGGAAGCTGTATGTCAGCTCCCTCGGCCAATAAAGCGAGATGAGCGTCGCAACCCCAGAGTCGGCCACGACTGGACCTAATGGTCAGGGATCCCTTTACCTTTTAATTTGTGGGAAAACATGATACTCATAAGCAAG